CGCCGCGGCCGCTGTCGGGGAGTCGAGCTCCTCGTCAAAATCGAAGCTGCGCACCGCGCGACGGAGCGCATTCCATGTCGCTTGCTGCCGCTGGAGCTGATCTTCCACGTCAGCCGGCTCGTGCAGCGCCCTCACTTGCGCGGCCAACTGCAGCTCCAGGGAAGAACTCAGCCACATGGCAAACAAGCTGTAACCCAAGCTGGTGACCTCCTGCTGCTCGACGACAGTCACCTGCAAGCCGACCGGCTCTGCGCCCTCCGGAGAGTCTTCGAATTGAGCCAGGTTCTCGCGGCTCCACGTAGCCGCCTGGCGTGAGCGCGCCCGGCTGCAGCGCCAGCGATCCGCCTTCCGCGGCCGGCCGTGCGATGCGGTCCAGCGCCTGCTCAAGTCGCTGGCGGGACGCCAGGAAAGGCACACGCTGCTTGCGGGCCGGGTCTTTCGGGCAGCGCCGAACCAAAAGCATCTTCATGTCTCCGACCAGGGCCGGGATCTGCCGCACGTACTGCGGGCCATTCTGAAACAAGTTGCCGACATGGCCACGCAGTTCGCACTGCCCAGTAGCGTGCAGCGTGAAGATGCGCACGATGTGCTGTATCGGCGACAGCAGCTCTTCTTCGAAGAAGGTGAGCGCGTCGGTCTCTGCCAGAGACTCCCCCGGGTCTGCAAGGTTCTCCGCAGTGAAGCGGACGGGCGCTTTGGGGAGCCCTTCCTTGGCCCGTGCCACAGCCTCTGACAGGCAGTTGCGGCATATTGCTTTGCCGGGCTCCAGCCAGTCCTTCTCTGGCGCAAGGATAAAGTTGCTCTTCTTGAAGGTAGCGGTCTTGACCTGGCCCGGCAGGGCGTCGCGTGGCCGGGTGGTCCCGAACCACCCTTCCTTGCAGTACTCGCAGGCCGTAAACTCTTGCTCCTGCAAAAACGTGTCCACCTCGTGCACTCGGTGGAAGAAGGTTCGGACGCGGGTCTCCGCGTCCAAGCTGTCGCCGTATAGCTGGCGCAAGCACTTTGGCAGCCGCGGGCGAGGCAAGTCGTCGCCGAGCGCGCACTCCTCGACATGCAGCTTGGGCTCGTGCGGAGCCTTGCGCGCCGCCCTCTCTGTCGGGCATAGGCAAGAAGCTGCTGCCTGCTGCACCTGCGCCGCCATCTCTGCTGACAACTTCGGCAGCACGCGAGACACGAACTCGTGGCCGAACCTCCAGTCCTTGTCGCGGCCGCGACGGGCAGCGCGAAACAGCGCGCCAAGAGAAGATTCTTTCTCTTGCAGGAATTCTGCGCGGCGGCTCGCCAGCAGGGCAACAAATCGGTCCACTTGCCGCTGCAGCGCCGGCCGAAACGCCAAGCGCTCGCCCTCGCCGGGCTCGCAAAGCATGGCCTCCCACTCGGCCAGCTCGTCCTTCTGCCCCTGTGAAAGCTTTGGGTAACAGCGGCGCATGAAATTTTGACCGAACTTGAGGCCTTGATCATTTTTCACGGCGTGCACTTCAAACAAAGACTTAAGCGAAGGCTTCTGCAAGCTCTGGAAGTACTCGGCTCGATCTTCGAGCAGAGCGATAAACTTTTCCAGCTGTCGCTGCAGCGCCGGCCGAAACGCCAGGCGCTCGCCCTCGCCAGGCTCACAAAGCATGGCCTCCCACTCGGCCAGCTCGTCCTTTTGCTCCTGTAAAAGCTGTGGGTAGCAGCGAAGCATGAAATTTTGGCCGAACTTGAGTTCCTTATAATTTTTCACGGCGTGCGCTTCAAACAAAGCTTTAAGCGAAGGCTTCTGCAAGCTCTGCAAGTACCCAGCTCGATTTTCGAGCACCGCGATAAACTTCGCCAGCTGTCGCTGCAGCGCCGGCCGAAATGCCAAGCGCTCGCCCTCGCCAGCGTCACAAAGCATGGCCTCCCACTCGGCCAGCTCGTCCATCTGCTCCTGCGAAAGCTGTGGGTAGCAGCGAAGCATGAAATTTTGGCTGAACTTGAGTTCCTTATCATTTTTCACGGCGTGCGCTTCAAACAAAGCTTTAAGCGAAGGCTTCTGCAAGCTCTGCAAGTACTCAGCTCGATTTTCGAGCCGCGATAAACTTCGCCAGCTGTCGCTGCAGCGCCGGCCGAAACGCCAGGCGCTCGCCCTTGCCAGGCTCACAAAGCATGGCCCCCCACTCGGCCAGCTCGTCCTTCTGCTCTTGTGAAAGCTGTGGGTAGCAGCGAAGCATGAAGTTTTTGCCGAACCGAAGCTCCTTGTCGGTCTTCGCTGCGTGGACTTCAAATAAAGCTTTCAAAGACACCTTGCGCAAGCGAATAAAAAAATCTGCTCGTTTCTCAAGCAGCGCGAGAAACCTTTCATACTGATCTTGGAGCTCTGGCTGCGCTTGCTTGGGCGACACGCACAGCCGAGCCTCCCATGCCCGGAGCTCCTCCCTCTGCCCCTCTGTAAAAGCGTGGCCCTGTCTCTGAAGGAACCGGTATAAGGCGGCCCTGTCTGGAATGGCCGGCTTGCCTCGCCTGGCCTCGCCAGTGCGCAAAAGCGAGGCCATGTCTTGGCACTGCAGCTGTCGCAGTTCTGCGGCGTTTGCCGCCAGGTAGGCCAACAGGACCTGAAAGCGGTCCTCACTAGTGTTGCTGTCATCGCGATCCATGGCGCGAGCAGCCGGCCGAAACGCCAAGCTGCCCTGAGTAGCGGGTGCGCAAGCGGCCGGCCGAAGCACCAACCTCTGAAAAAAAGTCGTATGCGTTGTTGATTTTCTGAGTAGTCTGTAAAAAGTCCCCCTGAGGGGAAACACGGGCGCCACTAATACTGCTTACAGACTGTGACTCTCTACACAAACAAAACAACACAAAACAACATCCCTTGGAGCGCTTGACTGACTGTGGGGTTGAGTAAAGTGTGACAAGTTGCGTGGTCAGGTGTGAGGTGTGCCAAATGCCCAAGTCACGAAAGTAACTACATTTGAGCCAACGTTTTCTGCATCTTGCCATCCCCCAGCTCGCAGAGAGTGCTTGCGAAGGAGTGAGGAGTTAGGAGTTAGGATTTATCATTGGTGCGGTTAACTTGTTATGAAAATTAAAAAAAAATATTTAGTGCTGCGCCTGCCACGAAATCTATACTTGACCTTGCGATAGTGCTGCGCCTGCCACGAAATCTATACTTGACCTTGCGAAAGTGCTGCGCCTGCCACGCAATTCAAACCTTGCGAAACCTTCGCGCGGCCGTGCCAATGGGCCCGTCGCCGAACCCGTTCCGAGACCGTTCCGAGACCGTTCCGAGACCGTTCCGAGACCGTTCCGAGACCGCCTCCGTACAGGCGTCGCAGCCGAGGTGGTTTGCGCACAGTCCGGAAGCCCAATTCACGCACTGCGCCAACGTTTTCTGCATCTTGCCATCCCCCAGCTCGCAGAGAGTGGAATACAGCACCTTGCGAAAGTGCTGCGCCTGCCACGAAATCGATACTTGACCTTGCGAAAGTGCTGCGCCTGCCACGAAATCTATACTTGACCTTGCGATAGTGCTGCGCCAGATGCTAGGTCAGCTGCCAGGTTGCTTCCTGTCGCGCGGCCGTGCTCCAATGGGCCCGTCTCCGAATACCAGTTTCCGAGACCGTTACCGGAGGACCGTTTCCGAGACGCCTTCGTACAGGGTCGCCGTATGTCCGAGGTGGTTTGCGCAAAATTGTCCGGAAGCCCAAATTCGACGTTAGTCTCGGTTTTCTGGCATTCTTGCCATCCCCACAGCTCGCAGAGAGTGCTTGCGAAAGTGCTGCGCCTTGCCACGAAATCGATTACTAGACATTTCGAAGAAAACGCAGTGCTGCGCCTTGCCACTGAATTCTTTACTTGACTTGCGAAAGTTGACTGCGCCTGCACCCGGGGCCATAAATTTTTTTAATCCTGCGAAACCTTCGCGCGGCCGTGCCAATGGGCCCGTCTCCGAGACCGTTCCGAGAACGTTCCGAGACCGTTCCGAGACCGCCTCCGTACAGGCGTCGCAGCCGAGGTGGTTTGCGCACAGTCCGGAAGCCCAATTCACGCACAGCGCCAACGTTTTCTGCATCTTGCCATCCCCCAGCTCGCAGAGAGTGGACGAAGCACCTTGCGAAAGTGCTGCGCCTGCCACGAAATCGATACTTGACCTTGCGAAAGTGCTGCGCCTGCCACGAAATCTATACTTGACCTTGCGAAAGTGCTGCGCCTGCCACGCAATTCAAACCTTGCGAAACCTTCGCGCGGCCGTGTGAATGGGCCCGTCTCCGAACCCGTTCCGAGACCGTTCCGAGACCGTTCCGAGACCGCCTCCGTACAGGCGTCGCAGCCGAGGTGGTTTGCGCATTGTCCGGAAGCCCAATTCACGCACAGCGCCAACGTTTTCTGCATCTTGCGATCCCCCAGCTCGCAGAGAGTGCTTGCGAAAGTGCTGCGCCTGCCACGAAATCGATACTTGACCTTGCGAAAGTGCTGCGCCTGCCACGAAATCGATACTTGACCTTGCGAAAGAGCTGCGCCTGCCACGCAATTCAAACCTTGCGAAACCTTCGCGCGGCCGTGCCAATGGGCCCGTCTCCGAACCCGTTCCGAACCCGTTCCGAACCGTTCCGAGACCGTTCCGAGACCGCCTCCGTACAGGCGTCGCAGCCGAGGTGGTTTGCGCACAGTCCGGAAGCCCAATTCACGCACAGCGCCAACGTTTTCTGCATCTTGCCATCCCCCAGCTCGCAGAGAGTGCTTGCGAAAGTGCTGCGCCTGCCACGAAATCTATACTTGAGAAAGCTATCAACGTGTTAAGCTGGCTATATGTCAAAGCTATCTATCTGTCATGCAAGCCTATTGGAAAGCTATCTATCTGTCAAGCTAGCTATATGTCAAAGCTATCTATTTGTCATGCTAGCTACCTGTCATAGCTGTATGTCAAAGCAGCTAGCTCATTTAGTTCCAGTACTACGGAAGTTTCTTGTTAAACTTCCTTTGATTAGGATTAAATGTAGGCGTCTCCTTGGAAGTCCTTTGACGAAGATGTCAACCCGTCTCAGGTGGGTTTCCTTGGGGCCTCTTCGTGCCTTGCAGCGGCGTCTTTGAAGAGCATCAGCTACCCGTGGCTCAGTGGCCTTGTTTGCTTCTGCCTGGCTATCATCATGGTTGCGTGGCTACGCTCCCACTTTTTCAAAGCCGACGAGGTGCGATTTGGAGTGCCCCAAAAAGAGGAAACCATGGACTGTGCCCAGCCGGGCCAATAGTTGGTTTCCTTTTGTGGTTTGCCTTGAATTCCCACCAGATGTGGCTTAAGGGGCACTGCGACCCTATTGGTTATGACAAATGCCCTGCAAAGAGTGTCTCTCGAGTGTACACTGTACAGGGGTATGCCGCTTTTGGAAAAACCACTCTTGGCTAGCTTTCACTCGATTCGTGAATGGCACTGTAACATGGAACCTGTGAGAGCGTAATTGGATTAAAGTCCCAGCCATGAGGCGTTCAGGTTCCTCTCTGTTTCCGTGCCGCTGTCGCAAGCAGATGATGTGAGGGCCTAAACAAATAACAATAGCATACTCCTAAACTACCACAGCCTGATTCTATTTATTTGAGCCCTTGTAGCAAATTTATACTCAATCAACTGGAGGGCATGTGAGGGGAAAGAGCTAGTTTGGGACCCACAGTGCCGCCTGTGGAGTCTGAAACTGGAACCCATTTTTGTGTTGGTTCAAGCGTTTTTGTGTTGGTTCAAGCGTCCACGCCATTATTATGCAGAACGCAGTATGAAAATCTATGTGCACAGCACTGTATTGACATATGAATATACATTGCATGTATGCTTATGCTTGTGTGAGCTTGAGGGGTTTACTATGGATGGGCAGGAACCTGCGCCATAAAATGCAAAGCGGATGTTGTCCATCCACTTGGCTGGCATTTTTTGCTTTGCCGCGTGGGTGTGTCTTTTTGAGGGTCTCCCTATGTTTTTGGCTGGTTGACAGGATGGCCAAAAGCCCCCTTTTTTTTTTTGGGGGGGGGGGGGTTTAATGGAAAGCCGGAAAAAGGAAAACCGTTGCGCCAAAACTGGGGGGTTTTCAGGTCCCAGTGGCCTTTTCCTGGGTCCTGACGGGAGGTGAAGGGGCAAATCTTCTTCCAAGCCATGGCCATGGGCTTCTTCCTGGCCGCGCTGGCGCTGGTTGCGGCCTGGACGACCTGGCAGTCCGTGGACGAAAAGTTTTGGGGCAGCGCCACCAAGGAGCCTTCGAGAAGAAGAAAAGAACACGTGGTCGGTTAGTCCCGGTTGCGAAATCCATTTTGCGCCACCTAAGAAACCATGGTTGAACCAGACAGTTTGTTGGAATTTGCTGTCCAGAGTTTCGTAGGTGGTGCAGGATTTCGTCCATCCACAGTATAACCCGAACAGGCAACAACATATATCACCTTTTGGGGCCATAAGGTGAGTTTGTGACTTTTCTGTGGGTGTCTTATTTTTGAGGTACCTTTTTTAGGTCGCTTCAAACGGACGGGGAACCGATGCCATGTTCTAGGCCCCGTCTCGTACCCAGGGCTTCAGTTGAAAATGTGTGTTTCTTTTCCTATGGCTCATGTATCACAAACAAATCTTAGGTAGGTTCGGTTCAATTGTGCTGATGTTGTTTCTGTGGCTCGTTTGTCCTTGTTTATGTCTTGTTCTATGATGCATTTAGGAGGGGCACGAGGGACTCATTGAATTTCCCACAACAACCAGGGTTCAGGCAAAATGTTCAGACTTGTGCGGTGCATTTAGTACCATGCACTCGGTGCTTTTTGAGTGTACAAGATCGAAACCTGGGAAAAGCGGGAAGGACACCACAAGCAAAATCAATTTGGTGCTGTTTGTGTTTGCCTTTCTGTTATTTGTGTGTTTGTGTTCTGTCCATCTTGTTTGTTTGTTTGTTTGATTGTGTTGATTGTTTGTGTGTTTGTGTTTATTGTTTGTGTGTTTGTGTGTTTGTTTGGTTGCTTGCTTGCTTGCTTGCTTGCTTGTTTGTTTGTTTGTTTGTTTGTTTCTTTGTTTGTTGGGGTGGTTATGTGGTTGTGGGGCATCCCATATGTTTACACTTCCAACCCCAAACGGACGCCAACCAAACAGAGATTTGTACCGGGGAAACTTTAAGGCCCTTGAGGAATTGCCCAGGAGCCACCAGGCCTATGTAACAACCAACCAAGTGTCCTTAGGGGTGTTTAAAGGGACATGTTATAAATGGATCACACCAATTCTAGGGGTTCCCGGGGACACCCCCATGCATTGGAGGCAACATGAGTCTCACCCATTTTAACTGGAGGAAAAGTCCCGGCTGAAGTCAAAGTCAAAGAAACAATTTGCTTCCTGCCCAAAGTGAGCATTCTGAAGGGCGAGAGCGGCGCGTTTGGGATCCTAAACAGCATCCGGGCTCTGAACCAATCCACGGAAGAGAGAGAGAGAGAGAGACTCTAGGCTGCAAAAAACTGCAGCAGGAGGCCCATGTGTTGTTGCATTTTTATTTCCCCCGCAAGTGAGGACTGGCTAGCGGCCCAGAACTCGGCCCTGTACGCGTCTCTCAACGTGACTTACACCCAGTGTGTGGCCGCCAGCAAAAGCAACAGCACCGATTATGCGGCAGTGTCATCCGCCTGCCAGACGGCGGAAACCGTTTGGTTTTTGCAGTGGTCTGGCCCTTGCGCCTTGGGGATTTGCAATGTAATTGTGGCTGGCTTCGGCACGGTCTTCGCACAGGCTGCAGACACTCTGGGAGATGATTCTGGAACAGACGCGCAGGGCTTGAAGAAAGTGCTCAAGACCTCTTTCGCGATGATTGTTTTCATGCTCGGGGTGATGTACAGCGCGCAATACGTGTCCGGTGCAAACGTGACCGTGAGCTCGGGCCTGCTGGCGTTGGCTGCAGCGTCAGCAGCCGCGATCTTCGGCTTTCTGTTGCTGGAGGTGGGTCCTCAGCGCCTCCATCTAGCCTCGCAGTCACCCAGCATGGGTGAATTACCCAATTTGTTCAACTTCTGTGTGTCTCCAACCAAAAACAGCTGCCCCGCTTGTTCGCCAAAATCCACTGGGCTTAGGTCAGATCCTTTGGCAGCACTCCTCATCGGCGTGCTGAAGTCTGACTGGGTGAAAGCGGTATCAGTCGCCAGTTTGAATGTCTTCATTCCGGTGATGGCTCTGCTGGACATGCTGCGCGAGAGGGTGCGCAGGTGCGCCAAACATCCACCAGCCTCCGGGCAAAGATATACCACCGAAGGCCAACGTGTGGCCGAGATGATGGGCTCCTGGGATTGGTGCTCCATCTTCTTCAAGGCTAGGATTGGATCTTCCACCTTTTCGTTTGAGCTGTTGATTTCCTTTGGGATCCAGAATTTCCGAGGCCCCAAAAGGTGATCTGTGGTTCGAAGTCTGAGAACTGGACAGATCAAGGTGAACCGCATCGGGCAGCTGGGGGCAGCCATGCTCCTTGGCATGAAGCTCACCTACGTCTTCTTCTCCTGGCTGAATGAGACCCTGGCAGCGGCAGGCCTTGCGTATGCTGTGTTGTGCCTTAGCTCTCTGAAAATTCGCCGGCCGAAAACAAAGTCAAGGGCGCGTTTGCATTGGTCCCCATCTATTCCAGCACTATTTTGGACCCTGTCAAAGTGCTCACCTTTTGGAAACTCGTAGCGAGCGGTGGATTCATATAAACTAAGGGGTTCATAACAGGGGTTCGTGGGCATGTTTGCTTTTTTGGCGCTCGCCCAAATTCACAGCTGCCCCATGATCGTGGCCCGTTTGGGGAGTCAGCAAAACTGGGCTTCCCTTCTTTCCAGGAGAAAGCTTGGGCTGAATCATTTGTTGTTCTTCATTCACCATCCAGGTTAACCCCGCGCCGGGTGCCTTTTTCCAGGTTCTGCTTGCTTCAGGTGCTTGATGATCTTGGCAGTGGGTTTGGGCATGTTCCTCTGCCCCATCGTCCCGGGCTCCGCCGTCTACATCTTCGCCGGGGTGGTGCTGGGCGCCCAGAGCCAGGCATTGGGCAGGGCGCTGGAAACGGGGTCCATACCCTCCCACCCAATTGACACATCCATGTTTCATAGGGTTCCGTTTTGGGTACCTCTTTTTGACCCAGGGCCACATGGAACCTGATGTTCCAACCAGGACCAAACGTCAGGTTCTATGTGAAGGGAGAGCAATTTGCTTAAGAATACATCCAGTTAGACTAGCTCTTTGAAGGGGCCACATTCCCACCCGAAATCAATATCTTTAGCTTGGTGGGTGGAAAATTGGCCCACAAATCGCTTGGGAAGAGGCCTCTTAGCTTGTCACCCGGGCTAAATCTTGGCTCGAAGTGGAGAAGTTGGTGTTACTTGCCTCAGTTGTTCAAAGCCCATCGACCTCTTGACCTTTTGGTTTCCCAGGTTGGTCCATATGGTCCCAAAAGTTGATCCCTGTTGTTCTTGAGTCCTTTGGGTGCAGGGGCGTAAGCAAATGGAGGACAGGGTTCCGGAGCGTACATTGGGGCCATAAAACCACATGCCAGCTGGTTCAAAGGTTTCCTGTATGGTTGTTCCCTTTTCGGCATTCTGAAAAGCTGAACCGATCTCGGCTGTTCAGCCGGGTTCCTTGCTTCTGACTAAACGGAGGGTCTTGAAACAACGGCACTTGAGGCCTGTTCAAGCAGGGTTGCCAGTGCTTGCAAGTATGGGAACCCATTTTTTTACAGAAAGGGTGATGTCTCAGCCCGGTTTTGAAACAACCGTCTTTTTTGGTGAGCTCACCTTCTGGGTGAAACGAGCGAATATCCTTTTTTTTTTGGAGTGGTACACCATTGTGAAAGTAGATGGTAGAAATTCCTTTATTTGGGTAGGGGAATGACTAACTGACTCAACCTATTGGTTGGAACATCTACTTTCACCCAACTGCAAGAGTGTCTGTGTGTGTGTGTACGTTTTATGTGCCCCTTTGACCTTGGTAGCAAGGGAGGAAACGGTTTTGATCTTTGGGTTTGAGTCTCCCTTCACATGTTCGTCTCAACTTGTTTAGGCTCGGTACCCATTTTGGGTGGCTGTTGGCTGAACTCAAGTAGCTTGTGCCTTTTGAGGCGCGGCACCCTGTTGGGAAATCAGCAGGTACCCCCCCCCCCCCCCAAAAAAAAAGAAGAAAAAAACAAGGAAGGGAGGGGGGGGGGGTCTTTCCCGCGTGGCCTCCCTTTGAAACCCTCAGGGGAAGCCAAGCGACAAAAAGGCCCCTTCGATTCGGGCACCGCCAGGCCTCCTCGGGCCCTGGCTTCGAGCTGGGGGTGGCGAGCGCGGTGGTGGTGAGCTCCGTGGCCAAGCGCCTTGACGGGCGGGAAAGACCCCACGCTGACCTGATGTTTGCTCACCACACGGCCCTCTTTGAAGGTAAGCCCCAAAACAATGTGGGGGTGTCCTTTTCCTAGGGGACCCAACAAATGCTTGGTTTCTCACTTCTTAAGTTCCTGGATTTCAAACTTTTTGGAACCAGTATAGTGGTACATGAAAAGTTCGGACGTTTTGTTGGCCGACCCACTCGACCGGAAGTGAGTTTCGAGATGTTCTCGCAAAACAAAAAAGTATCTGAGCTGACGGATGTTGTTTGTTCTTTTTGTCTGGGGGGGGCCAATGCCCGGCCTAAGGGCTGGTTTTTGGCCACTGAACGCGCTACAGTTTAGATTGGAACCGTCCAAACTGGAAAAGGACACCGATAGCGTTGGGGTCAGTTTGAAAGAGCGGTCCGGAGCACCAAGGATAGTTGCCTGCTTATTGCAGTATTCCATGGGCTTTGCCATGGGCAAGAGTGTGAAGGTGCAGCAGTTTGTTGGGGTGGACAAGGTAGCCATCAGGGCAATGGAAAAGATCTTGAAGCAGAATGGGATAAAGATTGACAAGGCCGCCATTCTGGTCGCTGGGCCTGACTGGCCAACTAGCGTTCTTTGCGGCATACTGCGTTTGAGGATCCCTTCAATGCTGCTTGGGACACTGCCAGTGATTCTTGTCAGCATTGGGCCTCAAGTCCTGGTTGGGGCACTGCTGACATATCAAGCCGGCTCCTCCGGGATAATGAGCATGATCTCCAGCTCTGTGACATTGTTTGCAGCTGTGGTGCAAGCAGTGGCGATGCTTTTCTTCACATATCGAATCATGCGAGTGGTCGATGAGTGCGGGGAGGAGCTCAAGGAGTGGAGGCCCGAGCATGCTGCGGTTGCCGCCCTGACGGAGAAGGAGAAGGCCTTCGTAGATGCCCTGCACGAGGCTTCGGATTGGCGCCAGCTGAAAATGTTCAAGAAAATGCTGGTCACGGTGTCCTCCCTCAGCATCATGTTGGCCAGCTTCATTTTGATGGCCGACTACTCAGTGGCAGCGGCAGACAAGTTCGCGCTCAGAAGCTTTGCCATAACCAATAGCATCGGCGCCAGCTTTGAGGAAAACGGCTTGGAGGGAGATGCGCTGAACATTGTGATGTCCCCAGTCGGCTGGATGGCGTTGGGACTCATTCTTTTCGGCACCCTGCTTGATGTGCTTGTGAACAAGTTGCTTGCCTGTGATGGGCGCAAATTGCTCATGCGAGAGACGGAGTAATGACAGCAATGGTCTATCTTTTTTGCGCTGCTCTGTGAAACACTGCGGTGCAGCCATTGTGGCCTAACCCTTTAGGTGCGGGCGTGGGCTCGCCCAGGTTGGTTAGTACATCTTATTCAGCGCGCGCTGACTTTTTTTTGCCGCTCCGGTGGACGACCATGAAACGAACCCACACCAAAGGCACATTTGAGTTGTTGCATTTTGGTTTATGGTTGTCTCTTGTACGCCGTTTGTTTTTTTCAAGTGATGCCAGCTGTTCAGCATTTGCTTGGTCTTCCGACTTGGGATCCAGAGCTTGGGGTGTTGGACTCAGAAGGTTGGGCCATGGGAACAAATTGCAGAGAGCCATAGACATGCCCCCAGCAAAAAGAATGCTGGGGTCGAATTGCCAGAATCGTCCGTCCGACCTTCTGGGTCCCAGTCTGGGCCGTTGGGTTTTCCCACCAAACCAACAGGAAATGCCGAAGGCAGCAATACCCGCGCGGAGCGCTGAGCTGAAAGAAAAATAAGCTGTCATTGAGTCATTTGGGTGTCAAAGGAGCCCCCCCCCCAAACGGACTCCCAAACGTCAGGTTCCATGTTGTTTGGGGGGAGGGTAAACATCGCAACGTAAGGAGGTCCCAGCGAAGAGGGCCACAAGACCCGCCCCTTGAGGACCCTGCTGCCTGCAGAGCCAATCGACCTGGAGATGCCAGCGCGCTTTGGGCGAAGAAAGGTTTCGCTTTGAGGTGGTTCAAATGAAGAACACTGCCCAGGCTGCGGAGCAGGCAAAAATCGGGGGGTAGAATGATGTTGCCTTCTGTTGTGGGTGGTTCGCACCATGACAGGGATGTCTTTCGGTACCAGAATCACGAAACCATGAGCTTGGGGCTAAAAGCTGAGCAAAAGGATGATGCTTTGTGTTCCCTTGGAAGGGCTTCCCTTAAAGCAACCCAAGCGAGCCCAGAGGATCCCAGGCAACCTTTTGAATCTTATGTACATGGTTCCCAGCACCCGCCTTTGCCAGTTCAATGGATCTGAGAAGTGCTTCGAGATGTGTCCGCCCGGGACCCGCGACGGACCTGAGGTATGTGCCGACTTTGGCCAACCGCCACAGCTCAGCGGTACGGAGTAGTGAGTCGAAGCAAGGCACCGGGGGGAAAATCTTCGGGGGGTGGGGGGGTGGGGAGTTGGGGGGGGGGGAGGGTTTGGCGATCCGTACTTGTTTTTTCCAGTTGGTACCCTTCCGGACCCTTTTCACATGGAACCTGACGTTTGGGGTTGCTGGTTTGGTTCATGTTCCTTTGAAAGGGATCCCCAAACGTCAGGTTTTGTGAAAAGGGTGTCTTGAGATTACCAATTGGGAGGTGCTAAAGGGACACCAAACGGACGCCAACCGTTTTTGGAAGGGGACCCTGGAAGTGCGCCGAGGCTTCCAGTCTTCTTTGCTTGAGTCAAGCTGGTCAATTACAAACTCCAATCAATGCAGGGGAAGCACCTTGACAAGTCCAATCAAAACCAAACCAGATTAGAGAAAGCCAAACATTCCTCGAGAAAATCAAACAAACAAAACACCTCGAGAAAGTCAAGACAAACAACCAACATTTAAACGGAGCTGTTTTGGACCCTCTCTGGAAAACAGCTCATGTTGAAATAGTTCTAGACAACTTTTTTTTGTGGGTGTCTCGAGGCTTTTTGATTTTGTTGTTTTCTCGAGACTTGTTTGTGTTAAACACAAGTTTTGCTGTGCTTCTTTTTCACGAGTTGTTTTGGGGTGTTCTCCTTTGTTTTTCAGGCTTTCTCCTGGCAAATTGGGAGACACAACCAGCTGGTCTTTCCTTACTAGGGTCTACTTGGTTTCCGATTGAGTTCCACTTAAAGTCCTGAAGGAGTTCCTATTGAAAGTCAAATTCAAAACAAGACCTGTAATTAGGAAGGGGTTGTTAGATTTTATGTTGGAATCCGCGATTGCGATGCTTCTACACCACGCCCCCTCCCGCCAGAGCAGCTCGCAAGAGCTGCTCGCCAGTGGATCCCGCCGAGTATCCCGCCAGAGCGGCTCGCCAGTGGATCCCGCCGAGTATCCCATCCCGCCGAGTATCCCACCAGAGCAGCCCGCCAGTGGATCCCGCCGAGTATCCCGCCAGAGCAGCTGGCCAGTGGATGCCGCCCAGTATCCCGCCAGAGCTGCCGATTAGTAAACGGGGCCTCCCCCCCCCCGGTGGGGGCACCTGGAATAGTATCTTGAGATCCAGTTCAAGTGAGTTTCCATTTAGTTTAGTTTTGGTAGACTTGAGTTTCCATTTGATTTAGTATTGCTGTTCTTTTGAGAATTGGAACTGACTTTCCATTTGATTGAGCATTGCTGGACCTTCCTTTTGAGATATGGAACTGAGTTTCCATTTGATTTAGTATTGGTAGACTTGAGTTTCCATTTGATTTAGTATTGCTGGAGCTTTCTTTTGATACTTGAAACTGAGTTAGCATTTGATTTAGTATTGGTAGAGTTGAGTTCCCATTTGGTTTAGTATTGCTGGTGCTTCCTTTTGAGATGCAATTTGGAACTGAGTTTCCATTTGATTTAATATTGCTGGAGCTTCCTTTTGTTTTTCTGGGGGGGGGCACGCAACAAGACTTTATTTCGGGGGCCCCTGAAATAAGGTCAAGTTGGGGGCTGAAGTACTGCCCCCTTTGTGGGATTGATTGTGGGCAGGTTTTCAACAAGAGACATGTAAGAAAACATGGGTTTGGTAAAGCTGACAATTTTGGATTTGAGGAGCAGGCCAAAATCTAGCAACACAGCATGAAGCATTGCCAGCCTCACCTAGGCTGTCTAATAACTTGATTAGCTAAGAGGCAATTGCACTGGGCTTGGCTATCTTTCTCTCTTTCTTTCCTTTTTGTTTTGGCACGGGTGGCGGGTGCTTGTCTTTATTCCAGGTGCATTTGCTAATCTTTTTGGGCCCCCCATTTGTCTTTGTTGGCCCCCCATTTGTCTTTGTTTCGCGTGCATTTATTAATCCTATGTGGACATTATCCCGCCAGAGCGGCTCGCCAATGGATCCCGCCGAGTATCCGGCTGAGTATCCCAGAGCAGCTGGCCAGTGGATCCCGCCGAGTATCCCACCAGTGGATCCCGCCGAGAATCCCGCTGAGTATCCCAGAGTAGCTCGCCAGTGGATCCCGCCGAGCATCCCGCTCGCCAGTGGGTTCCGCCAAGTATCCCACCAGAGCAGCCCGCCAGTGGATCCCGCCGAGTATCCCCACAACAACCCGTATGCTGTCATCATATACAGGTGAGTTTTGCTTTGATGGGTGCCGAAAAAGATGGCTTCCATGATGCAGCCAGAAGGAACCCCAGACGATTTGGGGCCCCCTATTGTAAGACACACCCTTAGGCAATGTGTTGCAGGATTGGAGGCGCACATGTGCAACATGTCAAGTCAAATTTCGGGTTTGGGATGCATTGCCTGATCGCGCAAGGCCTGCAGCATGGGCAAGACGCTGAGCAAAATTAGGGATCTAGCAGCCTCGGGTTTTTTAATTGTATGGCTCCATTAGTGGCCGCATATCCAATTGAAACCGGGGGCGGGGCGTAACCTGGGGTATTGATCTTTGGGGTGACTTCTGGGCTCCAGGGCACTCAAACGCAGCACTTTGGTTTTTGGTTCACTCAGGACGCGCATGCGCATGGCCACTCGCACGACCACGGGGAGTGCAGCATTTGCGCGCGGCACGCACGTTATGGGATATCCAGCCCCTTGGCAGCAAGCAGTGTTGGAGTGTCCTGCTATCGGCTGCTTATGCACACCACCAGCACATGAATCAACATTTGAAGGGGAAATCCAGTGACCCACCGAAAGCGACAGCATTCCGACATGACTTGACCCCTGTAACCCCGGAGGCATCCGCAAAGGCGCTGAAGTCGCATGCAGGGACGCCAGAGGCCAAATCAAGCCAAAATGCCGTGGGTGATCCAGTCGCAGAGCATGAACTTGTGCTTGAGCTGAACGGGTTGCGTTTGGAGCTTTCCTCAGTGCCGGCGAAGGCTTTGTTTACCGCTGCAAGGACTGGGCGGCGAATGTGGCTGGGATGGGCGAGACCCTGAGATGTTCCGGTTCGCTTTTGGAAGGTGGCAGGTTGGTTGGCTGAGTTTGGGTTGGGGTTGGGTTGGGTTGATTAGATTGGGTTGGGTCGAATTGGGTAGGGTAGGGTAGGGTAGGGTAGGGTAGGGTAGGGTAGGGTAGGGTAGGGTAGGGTAGGGTGGTTGGTTGGTTGGTTGGTTGGTTGGTTGGTTGTTGGTTGGTTGGTTGGTTGGTTGGTTGGTTCGCTGGTTGGTTGAACGATATGTTGGGGGTTGCCTCAGGGCAGGCTTCTGGCAGTTTAAGAGTTCGTGGGGCAGCTTGGACGAGCATCGTGGTGGGTTGCGTTAGGAATAGTGTTTGAATCGGAGTCAGTTGGGATTGTTCTTTCATGTTGTGGTTGCGTGCTTGCGTTTGTTTTTGGTATTCAGCTATTGCTATTTTAAGATACTGTTTTCTCGGCAGGTTTGGGCTCGTCACCAAACAATCCCCAAAGCAACCCCGACACCTGCGAAACTCAGCAAAGTAAAGCACCCAACCGACCCTAGCATCACAATCGTCAGAACGCCGCCACCCCCACCTCTGTCTCAACCAAGGCTAAACCAATACCAACCCGAGAACTAAGGAGCTCCAAGCAGAAACTTGCCCAAACACTTGGGCCGCTTTGGGATACGGAAGGCACCTTTGCTGAGTCGCCGTCTTGCCCTGCGTCCAAAGTTTGCAGCCAGAGAGGTGGCGCACAGCTCGCAGACCTTCCATGCCAGGCATCAGATAAGAAAGGGTCTTTGCAGGTGCAGGGTTCAACAGGTAAATTTTTGGAGGGTACCCGGTTTGGTTTCGTGGGAAACCAGAATGAACACCACATTTGTTGGGGTCCTGTTTTGACACCTGCCCAAACGTTTGTGGCACAGGACCGAGTTTTCCACCCTGAGCGGCTTGCTGCGCTGATTCGTGCCTCGGGCTTCATTGGATGCTGGCCGAATCAAGCCTTGGCACCTGTCACGAACTCCAAGTTGATTGATCGGAGGGCTCCAATTTTTTTTATCAGGGGTCCGTTTCTGTGCTGGTAACATCCAGTCTGATCAGGGGTCGAGATCAACTCATGACTTACCTCCTCACTGCCACTGGCTGGTTTCATGTTCTCCGAGAAGCTGGGAGGGATGTGAGACAAGCTGTCCGTTCAGCCGGTCCAGACAAGGTATCACGTGCGTTGCCTATGCGGGAAAGCAGAACGCGGGTTGCTAATTGGAGCCTCGTTTTTTTTGTCCGCGGAAGGCGACAAAAGCCGACAGAAGGCGCCTAAGATGGTCACTTGAGGGAGAGTCTGATTCCTGAGGACGAGCACATAAGATGCCAATGCGTAGAGGAACCTTGGAACCCTTTTCGGTATTCAGGTTTGGGAGAATCGCAGGTCATGGGCGGAGTTTAACAGCAGGAGATCCCCGGCCCAGATGGTGTCTCAGTGGTTCAGTGTGGCTCCCTTTTTGGCAAGGCGCTCTGGTCAATTTCACCAAGGGAGAAACATCAGTGCCCCCTAAACAGAGAGGTTGTCAGAACCTAATAGCCCCTTCTGAGAAGCTCTCATCCGGGCTCTTGGGTTGGCTCCCCATCAACACATGAGGACGCTTGCCGGTAGTGGCTGCCAAGCTGCACTTCATGCCGGAGGCCGGGCGAATCGGTGTCAGGGGTGTGACCCATTTGCCAGCGTGAGGTCCCTGTGTTTCTTGTGTTTGTAGTGCTTCTGCGTGGTGGGATCCATGTGTGGTTGGAACAGACCGTTGCAGCCATCTACTGGTTGGCTCAGTTCGGTCAAGTAAGGCACGGCTTCCTTTTCAGGTTTAGGCTTTCCATTGCGGAAGGGCAATCTAGCAGATGGAGGTTCCAATCAGTGAAGTCGGCTGGCTGGCTGGGCGGCTGGCAGGCTGTTTTTTTTTTTTGCTGGGCTGGCTCATTGGTTGGTTGGATTATCGGTTGGTTGGTTGTTTGATTATTATCTTCTTCTTTTTTCGATTGAGCCGGGTTGTTGCGGGGCTCCTTATAGGATGCATCCAAAACTACCTGCTCTACAAGACTTCGGATCCCAAAAGACTCAGCCGGTATTTGGGTGACTTTGGTTCTGGTCGATTTGTATGGTGTGAAGCCTTTACGGGGTCCTGCTTTGGTCAGTAGTTGCCTTTGTTCGAGGAAAAGCCCAAAGCTCCGCCCCAGGCAGAGCCGGGGCGGGAGCAAGACCCGCTCTTCGGCTCCGTGCTGCGGTCCAAAGGCTTCGCAGCTCGGCGGACTGAGCCCACCAGATGTCCTCTGGGGCAACATGTGGCATGGGGGGGATTCGTTGAGGGGTACTTTCAGGCTTCAGAAGGGACGTGGAAAACCGCAATTTTAGGGGTCCGCTTTAAGACACCTACCCTCCCACCAATACGCGGGGTCCCTTTAAGAAAACTTGTCTTTCAGGTAGCCTTTCACAGGTGCTATGCTTGTGGGAGGAAGGCTTCCGCACCGAGGTGCGGATGCTGGGCTTTGACCAGGCCTTCTACTGGTCGAGCCTTGGGCGTGATCCCTGTGGTGAGTTTTATCAAATTTAGGTGGGCTCAAAAGGTGAGATGTATTCAAAACCACCGAAAAGGGGATTCATGTCCACCACTGGAGGTTCCGCATTGAAATTCATTGCCTTGTCATTTGCGGTGTGTCAAGCAACTCCCAAATCATGGGCGTTCGGAGGTTCGCGTGGCAAGACCCAGTTGGCCTCAAAGCTGTGGACAAAAAATCCGCTCACCCGGTGGGATAGGTGGCTTGTCCGCCAGTATTCATAGGGCTTCATCCATACCAACTGGTGCGCAGATTTTGTGCCTCAGAAGTATAGGTGTCTTGAAGGGGGTCGAGGGTCGGACCATTTGGATGGAGTACCCGAAGAAGAAGTGTTACGTTTTGGCAGAAATCTTCGCATGGGTGAGGGCCTGAGGGCTCAGCAAATGAGCCCAACTTCGGCCAACTTTCAGCCGGCAGCCGTACAGCAATACTTAAGCAAAGAAAGAAGCAAGCCAACTTACTCCAAAACTCACTTGAAGTTATTTTCAATAAATAGCAGCGTGTATCACATGCATCGTGGCATTTTGGGACAGCATGGGCAGCGTTCATGTAGTTGTGACTGGCTTAACCCCCTCACCCTGGCCAAAATGGCCTGCTGGCCACGACAAGCTGCACACTGGTTGGATGAAAACACCCCAATTTGTGTGGGCAACTGAGTGTTGCACGGAGCTGAAAGTGAAATCATGGAGCATCTTTCTCGTTTCGAACAAGTGATGGACCGCTCCACTGGCTGCATGGAGTATCACAGTAACTCGCTTCGTTGCTTTCCGCGGCTCAGCGATTTTTCCGCATTCGGTTCAAGGCATGCTGGCAGAAGAGTGGAGCTCTACCCGGCCGACGCATCAAGCAAGGGCCAAGAGATCGCCGCTGGCCCGGCAGAGGGATGGGTCCCAGGAAGGCATGTAGAGGTATTCCTGGGACGAGAGCTACGTGGATCCGTCATTTGGCGCTCCTACGTGGACCCTCCTTTACGTAGGCCCTTGGACCCTACTGTGTGGGCCTGTCCTTCACATCCCTGACACTTTTTAGATGGGCGTGGGACCCATCCGTTACACCGTCCCCTCCCGTCCTTCACACAGGCCCTTCTCCCTATGTTCCCCCCCTCCTAGGATTCTCCTGGGCACACCCCTTTTTTAGGATGAACCCTCGTGGACCTGTCCTTACGCCACATTACCTGGACCTCCTGAGCGGCGGTCCCGTTTTTTTTCTCCCCGTGCTTGGAACACAAGCCGTGACAAGGTCCGAGTCAGCAAACAAGAAGGGAGACAAGTGGGGAGACAAGCCGTGAGCAAGCAGAGACAAGAAAACCGTCCCGTGACTGGGAGCAGCAAGTTCTTTGGGGTAAAAAGAAGTGCGTTCTGGTCTGACTGGCTGTCGAGACAGCTGTGAGAAGTGTGAGAAAAACGAAAGAAAGTAGGAAATGCGAAACCATGGCAAATACACAGTACGAGAAGGGTTATTTGTTTGCCATGTTGTTATTTTCTCCACCTTGCGTATACTTTCAGCGTGTCAATCGGTTGATTGCTTCTGTCGTATTTATTTTCCCCCTTAACGCCTTAACGTTCGAACTTCTGATTTCTCGAGCTGATGACCCTTTGATTAGTTGGCCTCTGACTTGGGTTTTCCGCCTTTCGACCTGTCCCGTCCGGCTTTCACTTCTACAATTTGTTTGTTGTTTTTTGCCATTCCAATTTGTTGTTTTGTTGTCCTTGGTGCCAAAGCCAAACCACTGTGACGATTGAACTGAACCTGTCCAGTCTCAGAATGCGGTCCTTTATGCATCTACAGGTTTCAGTCTTTCGCTCATCAGGGTTTTGTTCACACTTTGTCATGCCGATGTGTGCTATTATCTGTTTGGCACACCTGATGAGGTGCCATATTGGCACCGCTTGGGTTTTCTCCATTGACAGAGGCTGGCTAATCAGGGCTTCATATTCCAGCATCTCCTTTGGGACCTTTGCTTTTCTCGTTTTGTTTTCAAGGTTGCATGGAAATCCCATGCAGGCATTTGGCACAGGGCGCCTAGCATTGGCAGCATGGACGTGCCAATCCAAAGGGCCTTGGGCGCCTGCAAGTCCCATGCTGACGCATCGCAGGTGCTGCCTTCAAGGCCTTCCAGAGCAGCAGCAGCAGCAGCAGCAGCAGCAGCAGCAGCAGCAGCAGCCGCCGCTCCACGCGAGGCGGCGTCTCCTGTCTCAGCGTTGGCTGTGGGTTTGGCACTGCGCCGGAGGAACGTGGGCCGTAGGGATTGCAAAGCTAACAAGGGTAAAGGAGGTGCAGGCCAGCCAGCAAGAGGTGCGACTGCTTTGGAGGTGCTTGGCGAGAGGGGCATTGTGCAAATGTTGGAGGACGAGGGGCGTAGGGACACTTTGTTCAGCTCGCTGAGAGTGCTCATGGAACAGCAAGTGCCATTGGACGTGCAAATTTTCAATACGGCACTTTCCACTTGCTCAAAGCTGCGGGCGTGGCAAGATGCTTGCCAGATCCTGGAAGCCTTGCCTGAAGCCAAGGTGCAGGCTGACGTGGTTAGTTTTAGCGCTGCAATCACTGCTTGCGGCAGAAGCAGCAACTGGCAGCATTCGCTGCCCCTTTTCTACACAATGCCTTGCGCAAAGGTGCAAGCAAACGACGTCAGTTTTAGTGCCACAATCAGTGCTTGCGAGAAAGGCGGTCAGTGGCAGCAGGCGTTGGCACTTTTCCAGGCAATGCCTGGCGCAAAGGTGCAAGCAAACATGTACAGCTTTAGTGCCACAATCAGTGCTTGCGAGAAAGGCGGTCAGTGGCAGCAGGCATTGGCCCTTTTCCGGGCCATGCCTGATGCAAAAGTGCAAGCAGACATTTACAGCTTTAGTGCCACAATCAGTGCTTGCGAGAAAGGCGGTCAGTGGCAGCAGGCATTGGCCCTTTTCCGGGCCATGCCTGCCGCACAGGTGCAAGCAAACATCTACAGCTTTAGTGCCACAATCAGTGCTTGCGAGAAGGGCGGTCAGTGGCAGCAGGCATTGGCCCTTTTCCAGGCCATGCCTAGCACAAAGGTGCAAGCAAGCATTTACAGCTTTTGTGCCACAATCAGTGCTTGCGAGAAAGGCGGTCAGTGGCAGCAGGCGTTGGCCCTTTTCTGGGCCATGCCTGCCGCACAGGTGCAAGCAAACATTTACAGCTTCAGTGCCACAATCAGTGCCTGCGAGAAAGGTGGCCAGTGGCAGCATGCGTTGGCACTTTTCCGGGCAATGCCTGGCGCAAAGGTGCAAGCAAATGACATCAGCTTCAGCGCCACAATCAGTGCTTGCGAGAAAGGTGGTCAGTGGCAGCAGGCGTTGGCCCTTTTCCAGACAATGCCTGGCGCACAGGTGCAAGCAAATGACGTTAGTTTTAGTGCCACAATTAGTGCTTGCGAGAAAGGCGGTCAGTGGCAGCAGGCGCTGGCCCTTTTCCAGACAATGCCCAGTGCAAAGGTGCAAGCAAACGATGTCAGTTTTAGTGCCACAATCAGTGCTTGCGAGAAAGGCGGTCAGTGGCAGCAGGCATTGGCCCTTTTCCGGGCCATGCCTGCCGCACAGGTGCAAGCAAACATCTACAGCTTTAGTGCCACAATCAGCGCTTGCGGCAGGGGCGGGCAATGGCAACATGCCCTGGCGTTGCTCCGAGCCATGCCTGAAGCAAGCATAAAGACTAGTGATTTTTGCTTTGCCCCAGCAATCAGTGCCTGTGGGAAGGATGGTCAGTGGCAACAGGCACTGGCCCTTTTTTTCGAGATGCACCACGCAGAGGTGGAGCCAAACGACGTCTGCTACAATTGCCTGCTTGATGCCCTTCGTGGCAAGCCCTTTGGCGACATGTATTTTGAAAAGGCCCTGCAGCAGGGCGTGTTTCAGACTTTGGCTGCGGCGCAGCCCACATCTATCGACCTTCATGGGCTTTCTGAAGGAGCTGCTCAGCTTGCTGTGTGGTGGTGGCTGCATACCTTGGTCCTGCCGGAGCTGGGCAGCGCAGATTGCGAGATATATGAAGTGATCACAGGGTATGGCAACTTGGCTATTTGGTTGGCCCTTTAGCCTCCAATCTTTTGAGAAAATGTGTACTCCCCTACTAACCCACCAAAAGTTGAGTACACGCTTTGGTGCGAAACCAGTCCCCAGGCAAGTCGCGGAGGGAGTGGGACACCTCAGACATCCGGGCCGCTGCCATGAGCCTCCTGCAATACTTGAAGATCCAATTCCGCATCCGCCCGCGAAACGCCGGGCTGCTGGAGCTGAGGCTCGGCGAGCGCGACCTGCAACGCCTCAAGGAGTTTTCAAAAGGAGCGCACGGGGAGTTGGAAACTGGGTGGCCCAAGGTAAGGAGTACTTCAACGCGGTTTTTGTTTTGGGTTTCCTTTAACCATCCCAAATGGGCGAAATGGGGGCAAGGTAGCTTAGTCATGCCCTTCCACCTTCAGGGTGGAAGGGGGGTCCCCTCCGAAAAATGGTTCCCCACGAAAACGGGACCGCCCTTAATAGTAAGTGCGGGGGGTATTCATCAGGGGTCAGCATTAGGTGGGAGTATAGTAGGGGATGCAGGTGAGTGATTGTGAATGGTGAGTGCTTTGTGAGTATGGGTGACGCGGTGAACAGCATGCTACTGTTCATCATGTTGCCACGGTCCTGAATAGTATGCATTCGAGAAGTCCAGATTAAAGATCGCTCCAAGCCTTGAGCCCCCCAGCTGGGGGCATCACACTTCTTGCGAACCAGTTAGAAGTTTCAGACCCATATGCATACGTTGGCAAGAGGTTCTTTCACCTCACGGGATGAAGGGCGGCGCAGCATGTGAATATACAAGAGCGCTCTCACGAGGTCTTCATCGGCACTGGACTGGACAGAGCCGCGATCTGCGCGGCTTTGGATGCCTGTCTTGCCACGGATGCTGAGACGGCCAAGTTGTGAAAAGGGGCCAACTTGCGTCCGATTGGGGTGGGTGGGTTTTCATGGGGGTGTAGCTAGATGTGGCACCTAATTGGGGCGGCGTCGGCTGTTTGGCCGCAGGTGGAGTTGGTGCCCGGCGGGCATGACCTGGAGGTGACTGAGGAGAACAAGGCAGACGGAAAGGGGCCTGCAGAGTCATTGCTATCAAAGTCTGCCACAGGGGACCGAGGCCAGTACTGTGGATGGTTGCGAAATCCATTTCGCACCACCCTAAAGAACCCGGGAATGCTTCGACTCCCTGTAAATACCAACCAACTATCAAGCAATAGTTTCCCATGGTTTCGAAGTGGTGCAGGATTTCGTCCATCCACAGTATGTTTGTGGCCAAGTGGGTGCTCACTCACTGCGTGATTGAAATGGGGAGCTTGTTTCAGCTTCAAATCCTTAGAATGATCAGGCGAGGAGGCTCATGTATCAGTTTTGGGGCCGCATTCCCACCCATTCCTGCTGGCTGAGATGCCATGCTGGTGTTTATGATTGTCAGAGTCACCAAGGTGCTTACAAGCAAACGGACGATTATGCAAAGGATCATTGGAGGTGACTGTCAATTCTCGTGTGTCCATTGAGCTGAGCGCATCCAATCAACCACAGGAGAGAAGTTTGTACTAAGAGCGGTTCCACTGGCTTGTGCTGTGCTTTGGCTGTTTCCCTGCAAGGTACTGCATGAAGGTCTTGCCCAGGGTACAACTATTTTTGGGCAGGGAACCTCATTTGTAGCTTTATATGCCACTTTTTTGGGATAGGGCCTAGGCCGACATAATCAATCGCATCATGAAGCTACCGTCTCTTGTCAAGATGTCGAGTTGTTGCTTGCTTGCCTTCCCGGTGGAAGTGCGTCTGCGCGCGTGCGTGTGTGTGTGTGTGTGACATTGATGGCGTTCTGAGTTGCTTTGTTCTCGGCACGTCCTTAAAGGGGGTGATGCATAGGCCTTAGGCGTCCTGGTCAGGTCAGTTTGGTCGAACATGGATTGCACTGGTTTCATTTGTGTTCTAACCGTCCGGTGGCACCGAGGGCTCGAGAGACATGTGGTTTACTCACCCGATTGCCCCTGGAGGTGTGAGCATGGACCACCATTGCCCACATGGCTAGGCTGAATCTTCTAGTGACTGGTGTATGTGTGCGTGTGTCTAGGGACCTAGGCCTAGGGGTATTGCTGAAGCTGAACTTTGAAGACAAGCTTTGGCCATCCGCTCATATCTGGAGTTTGCCTAAGAATATTGTTTTCTTGCCCCTGTTGGTGTTAAAGGAAATGTATCGCTATTGAACATATTTACATTTTTCCATCGGACTTAAGCAAATGGAGGGTATTTTTGTTCCTTAGGCGGACTGGCTGCGGCCGGGGGCTTAGATGGTGCTTGGGGGGTGGCTTAGTTGGTTCTTTTTCCAGGAGCCTTGGAATTTGAGAAGCAGAGCGGTGCAAGCGAACGCGGTTTTTGCAGCCCTTATGGCTGCTTCCGATTTTGTTGCCTCGATGTTGCAGTGTTTCCTTGCGAGCTGTGTGCTGCAAGTTGGTCTATGCCAGCATCCCACACGCACACACCTCTTGATGGTGGAGCGGCGAGGTGTTGAAGTGCCATTCAGGAAGATGCTTCCAGCGCAAATCACAAGTCGTCCCGCCACTTGACAACTTGAAAAAACCACAGCCGCATTTGTCGGACTGTCGCTTGGAGGAGGGGAGGCGTGCATGAAACACATGAAGCACCAACTTCACTGACAGGACGCCAGGGCTGGTTTTTTTTTGTTATTGCATTCGGAAGCCGATGTTTGTTGATTTTAGGGTTGTTCGGCTTGCGCAATGTTTGATTTTGTTGCCTTTGCCCTCCATGCTCAACATAGACACTGCCCGATCTTTCATTTTGAGCTGTTGCTTACTTCCGCCTTTTTTTTGGAGCGTTCAGACGCATGCCGTTTGCCAAGCTGATGCGAAGATTCGAGGCTGCACCTGCACGACAAGCTGTATAGATCAATGCAGAAGGCTGCAGATGCCTTTAGAACAGGGGCCGGGCCCTCAGTAGCCTCGTAGGTTCCATCGTGGGGCATCGTGAGCCCACATGACAGGTGCACTTTGTTTCTGGACTTTTGTCAAGAGGTTTTCTTAGCGTTGCATCCGGTTGGGCCTGCAGCCCGGAGCAGAATAGGAGACAATGTGTCTTTGAGGCACCCTGTTGCAAGCTCCTTTTGGGAGAAAGGGGCTGGGCCAGTTGCTTGGATTCCGCCGCAGATCCTGGACATTTGGGGTGGCACACGGCGGACTTGCCCGTTGCTGGCGCCCCCAGACTCGCTTATGGGCCGTGGCTGGGACTGGGGACTGCGAGAGGTTGGAGCCGAAGATATGGAATACGAGCAGAGGAAGGATGGTCAGCCACAAGTTGTGCACGCAACAGAAGGCAACTCTGTTTTATGCAGGCAGGGAAGCTTGCAGCAAGGGGTGAACAAGAATAAGGCAGTGCCAGACTCAAATCAGAAGGGGCGAACTCAGAAATGAGTGCGACTCCTTAGATGTTTCGGCACAGACCATCCAGAGACCTTGGCGCCTGGCAGGTGCTGCTGACCCCGTCCGAGCCGGCAGCTCGGGTGGGCCCTTCTCCCGCATGGGCAACCCTGGCAGGAGGCTTTTGCCCATGTTCGATGGTCCCTAACAGTCATTATCCAAGCAACCAGCAGGAAGCCTACGGGGTAGAATCTCCCTGGAGCTGGTTTCTTGGAAAATGATAAGTACCACTGTCGCTAGGACAGTCACTAGCCCAAAGATTGATTACCTGGCCTGCAAAAAGGTTGCTAAGCAATAGAACAGATCGCAGAAGCAACCAGCTCAACCAAAGCTAGCCAAACATCGTGAAGCTCATTTGGTGCAATTCGCAGGGGTCAGTAACACATCCGCGAAAGGGGGAGCTTGCAATGCTGCCAGCAGAGTACTCCCCGGATGTACTGTTGGGGGGTGGGTGTGCGGTACATTTACCGCAAGACGACAGAGAACTCATGTATTCCGCATCATTGTCACGAGTCGCAACCCTTTTGTCAATCAAGGTTCCCTGTTTGCCCCTGGTTGGTGATCTGAGACTCACGGTTTGGGCCAAAGAAGAAAGATAGGGAGCCATTTGCCTTTGGGAACATGTCCAAGTTTGTGGCAGCCACTTTGATACTTGACAAGTGCATAGCAAGTTTGATGCATCGCAATTTGGTTGGTCAGAAAGATAGTTAAGACATTTCAGCAGCTTTTCCAAGCGCGACTCTTAGTGTCTACCGTTTGCTTCACTTGTCATACGGTAGCAGAGTGCTGGGCCCTTTTCTGGACGCGTCTTGCCGCAAGAGCAAAGGACGCAATTATTTTGTTTTGGCCAGGGCCCCACAATGTGGGCGACGAATTTCCTGTGACAACCAGGGGGATGGCATGGTCAGCCGAGGCTAGTGAGGATATGGGCTGGCAGCGGCGTGACAGATGCAGACGTCGGGCGCTGGAAGGAGGCGGCTCACCTTGCAAAGGGAAGGGGACGACTCAGGCCGACGGGCCATGTTCATTCATGTGGGGTGTTCCCGTGATCCACCAGGTTGACTTATCCATTGTCGACATGAAGAAGTGAACCGCCCGCGAAGCAGGCTTTGGAGCCTAGGCCAGAGTTTGACGTTGTGGTAGATTCCTATTTGTTACGTGCAGTTCAGGTGGCTTCAGGTTTGCGGCTGGTCGTAACTCTCAGTTGGCTTTAAAGCTGATTTACTGAACAATGTACCGGGAGGGCAGGCAAAAGCCTGAGATATATTTCCTCTAGTCTGCTTGCGGTGGCTAAACATAGGGCTCAGGGCATCATTTTGTTCACTTTTTCTTGTAGTGGCAGAGGATGAGGCACCATCATTACGAACTCCCGCGAGGTTGCCTTGCCCCTTGTCTATTTCCACGGTCGTGTCAAAATACGCGCACTTTTGAATGGTCGGAGCCCGTCCCGGATTCCAAGGGGTCTCTCGGGTTTTCAAGCAGGCCCCGGCTTGCTAGGTTATAGGGCTCCTGCCTCATCCAGGGGGCCTTGACTCCAGGTGGCCACGGTGAGCCATGAGGTCAAGACCCAAGCAGGCGAGCAGGGGAGGGGGTGAAGGATTCCCCCTCAAAGTGGTAGAGTAGGGAATGGCGACCGCTGTCATGGGTTCTTTGAAGTCAGTGAGCTCCCTTTCCAGCGGGGAATTGTTTGCAACTACCACGTGAGACATGTCTACTTTGCAGTTGTTGGTTGAAGTCATGCACGAAAAACGTCATGCTGACACGAATCCCAATGACTTGAAGTGTTGAAGTGGAAACATCCGGTGTTCACTTTCCACTGAGGTCATGGAAATGGCCTATGGAAATGGCCCTTGGTATCGCAGAACAAGTTGTTTTCCACAACCATGTTTGGACATGATGGTGATATCTTATCTCATTGAACCAGGAATCACCTCCAAACTGGTTGGGGGACATGACTCCCAACCTGAATGTCCACTAGGGGTCCCAAATGGTCCCAATTAAAATTAATACCCAGATGGGACCCAGATCTTGTGCCGTTGCAGCGTTTCACACGACAGACAAATCCGAAGGCTGGCTTTGGGAGATCCTGGAGGAGTCTGATGAGGCTCGGTGGGCCGCAGGACATGAATTGGCGGGTTTCCCATGCTTTTTCCTTCCCGCCACTCCCACAAGGCATCGATACGTGAAAGGAATGCTGAGACACGTCTCTGCAACTTGATTGGCTCGTGCTAGCATCGCACGTTGTTGCCTGGTCATAAGGCAGGTGTTCGTTTCAAATCTAGACCGCAAGCTGGCCAACGCATTGTGAGTCGTAAAACGTGCCCAGCGATATTCCAGAGGTCCCTACCGCGCACGAAAAAACCTGCACCTTGCACAGTTTACTTTCCAATGCAAGATCAAACACGCCGTTCTTAAGGCACGGTGCAAGCGTGATGAACAGCAGCTTTGTGGTTGGAAGAAAGATGGTTCTTTGTGTGCCGGTAAAGGTTTGCGAGTCAAACTGGCAAGGTTGTGCTACTTGGCACCCTTGAGTTAAAGTGCTATGTATACCTGTATAAATATGTATATGTATATGTTTATATAATAGATCATTCCCCTTCCATACGCCACTTGCGCCAGGCATATCGTGCCAAGGTGCTGAAGTTCACAACAGGCGGAACGGGCTCCGTTAAGTGGGCCTCAACACCAGGATGCAAGTACCATACCTTTTGGCTTCCTGTGGCTTCTTGTGCAGCTAGACGCTTGGGCCCGCTTCGCTTTTGCATGAGGCAACCACTCACCACCCTTGTTTAGTTCAGATTGTCAGGGGCTCTAAGGTGGTGGTTTGAAGGCTTGAGTCTATCATCCACTGCTTCTGGTCACTGGGGATCATGTTGGAAAGCCGTTGTTTGACCCCAGTTGCCATGAGGGATCTACGTCCACCTGCTTTTGCAGCCAGCACCTGCGCCACGCCAACCACTCCCAGCATATCTAGTGGCAACAGGATCAGTACGCCTAAATTCGAACGCGCCAAGCACTACCGCTCTTGCGTGAGCCTCCCCCAATTGACACAAACCCGAAGGCCGATTGCTGCCAAACGCATGCTCTTGAGCATGTCAATGTAGGTGAAACCGGTGCGAAACCACAGAACGTGGCAGCATTGAAGCATAAATGCATCGAAAGGTCTTTTGAACAACTCCTGAAAAAAGCCTTCAGACCCAAGTTTCCTTCAAGGCCGGGTCTAGCAAAGTTTGTTAGGGAAAACTCCTTTGCAAAGCTGAAAAGTCGCAATCAAAGAAGTCGTGCTGGGTGCTCGATGCGCCAAGTTAGCCAGTGGTTAGTCTAGGTTACAACCTACTTGCAACAGAACCCACTCACTCAGCAGGTTGCAACCTAGGTAACTCAGCACTTCCTAACTTGGCCAATAGAGCCTTGCCAAGCGCCGTCCGTGGAAAAGTCCGGAGAGGAGTTCATCGCATCGGGTACGTGGGCATCCAGTCCTTTGAGGTGCAGCCCGCGGATGGACAGGACGAGTCGTTGCCCCGGGCCATGACCTGCCCGGAACCTCAGAGCCGCAGGCGCGGGAGGGGGATGGCAGGCCATGAGGTCACGTGCCATAGGGTTCAGGGATGTGAGAGGTTAGGTTTCCACTGAGAAAAAGGGGGGAGGGCATCCATCCCACCAATCAACGTGGAGCCTGAGAGGGGGTTCCTTTACAAGCAAAATGGTCTTCCAGGACCCCCTGTCAGGTTCCATGTGAATTGGTGGGAGGGTACCTTGAAAGTAATCTTGTAGTCATGGGAATGACCCATGTGGGTATCACAAGGCCTCAGGGTGAGCTCCCACAACCATGCAGAAGGTCACCTGCCCAACTTCGTTTTTTGGACGCTGGTGGTTTTAATGCAGGTGAGCCAACGCGAAGGAAGCAGTAGCGATGCCATGGTGGATTCTGGATCTGGAAAGCAGATGATCCCGAACCCTTCAGCAGACCTCCGTTCCCTTCCCACTTGCCAAGGCTTTGGCTTGCCCGTGGAATGCAAGGAGAAATTGCCAGCCTTGTGGTTGAAGCTTGCTACCAGCCCAACTCCGCTGCCCTCCACTGATTGTTTATGCCTTTAGGCAGTCTTAATTCGGTTTTGACATGTGTTGGTCCTGCACAAGGCCCTCCATCATGAGAGGCTGTCCCCCACCCCCCGGGGCCATCAACAAAACACATACTTGGCTTCCATCGACGTTGGCAAGAAGCAGCACTTTGTGCCAATCTGTCCCGTTTCTGAAGTCAGTCCGGGGGCTTTGGGCAAGATCAGCACGTTTGCACTTTGGCTCAAGTTCATTCCTGTGCCCATGGGGGAGCAGGATGCGTTCGAGCCCGAAGCTCGGCACACGCACGAAAGGGGTGCTCTTGTGAAGCGCTTGCCTCCATGCAGCTCAAATGAAGGTTGGCTGTGGCGTTTCTGTTGGACCGGGCGCCGAGCCTTCAACGCAGATGGCTCAAGTCTTTCTAGTGTTTCTTGCATATTCATAGTCATAGCGGTGTTGTCAGAGGCAAGCTTCCGTGGAGGCTTCGCCAGGTCTTGTAGCATGTCTGACTCTTGCAATGGGGCGTGTTGCCCTTTTTGAGCCACTTAGATTCTAAGACATGCGGCTTGCGCAGTTGCAAGCGTTACGTGCCAGTTAAGACGCCCCTGGCAGGTGCCCGTCGTCCCATGTAGCCAGCGCTTAGATCTTGAAGCGGGCCAATCAGCTCTTTGCATTTTTGTCATTCAGGCACAACAATTCACCCAAAAGGGATCAACTCAGCAAAATCACGGGGACACCGCCTTGAATGCCCCAAAGAACGACGTCAACCCTGGCTGCAAAGTTCACCACGATGAGAAGTTTCCCCAACAGAAAGCCAAGCAGGAATGTGAAATGTAGCACCTTTCAAGGGCCAGGGCTACCAAATGGAACTGCAAGGCTTATTCCCCGACGTTTCGGGCATTTCACCAACCCTTGGAAGGTGATTATTATTTGATTACTTTTTTTGGTTTTGAACCCCCGGCCCTGTACTGTTGACGGACGAAATCCTGCACCGCTTTTACTTTTGCAAAAACCCTTGTGCTCCCAATTTAACATTGGACGTTTTCGGGCCCTTAGTTTCAATCATGTTGAAATGGCCGAAATCCTTCGCCACCTTTTGTGCAGGGCATGATGCGTGGTCAGTCGTGAAATAAAGTTGGGAGAGGCGTTGCAGGATTTCGCCAGCAACCGTATGGCCCAGGGAAAAGTGTCTTTCTCTCTTTTTTTTGACAGGGCACGCTTCTCACCTTGGTTGTCAGAAAAATCATCCACAGAGGCATTTTTGGTTGGGTGGTCCATATCCCATGATTGGCACATTCCCATTGGAACCTTTCATGGTTCTGGGTAAGACTTATGCCTTTGTTTTTGTCCTTTTTTTCTACTGGGCCCCGAAATTGATCGATTTTCCTTGAACTACCACCAAAAATGGTACCCCCGAAAAGCTCGAAGAGCCACCTGTATGGGTAGCATGCATCGGATCTGAGGACTGGGCCGCAATCACAGTGGACTGCCTGACTCGGAAGCTCAGGGCTACGGCCGGGTCGCCCGATTCGACGGATGGAATCGATACTTGGATGTCCGTTGCAAAGTTAGTAGGTGGTTAGTCAGTTGGGTTCTACCCCACTACCAGGATTAACCCCACATTCACGGGGGGGACTTGGTGGGTTGTAACCTAGGTTACCAAACACTTACTACCTTGGCCGCAGGGTCGGGTTGGGTGGTTGGGGCCTGGTGTTTGGATATGGTTATGCTTGTAGATGGCTTGGATATGTTGGGATACATTTATGGTCATTAGGTCGGTTTCGGAAAACATGTCCAGTTGTCTATGGTGCATTTCGGAGGGTTCCGACGAAACCCAGTGGGGACCCACGTGGCTCATAAGTTTAGGCACGCTTGTTTTTCGTCGCGTTTGTTTTTGTATTGGATAGATTTGGGGGCTTGATGTCGTGAGCTTGCCTTTGTGGTGGGTATTGGACCATTTTGGTGGTGAGTTTGGCCACTTTGTCCTGTCCAATCCCCACACCATGACGGAGGGACCCCCCAACCACCTCCCCCCCCCCCCCAAACACCTTTTTTTTTGCAAGAACTAAAGTAGACCATGTCTTGAGGTGTGAGACGCGTGTCTGGGGGGTCGGTTTTTCAAATGAACGCCTTCGATCGCCAGGTGCGCGTGGAGGCCTTCGGGGAGGCGAAGCCACGTTTCGCGGAGCAGAGGGTGCAGCTGGAGCCCAGTGCCCGACCTGCGCTTGGCAGGGCGGAGTTTGCGGGGTGGGGGGGGAGGTCCTCCTGTTGTTGTTCTTGTTGTTTTTGTTTTATTATTTGTTATTATATATTTTTTGGGGGGAGAGGTTCCGTGTGTTCTTTTCCTTTTTTGGGTGGGGGGGAAGGGAGGTTGCTAGTTGTTTTCCTTGTTGATGGGGGGGGGGCTCTTGCTTCTTTGTGTTTTTGTTCTCTGTGTTTTTTTCTTTTGTTATTTTGTTTTTTTTTGGGGGGGGGGTGTCAGGGTTTAAGGGTGGGCTGGTCTCCATTAAACAAGCATATGTTGCTTCTGAGGGGTGCTCGTTACCATGTATACGCATATGTGTGTCATGTGTTGTTGAGAACAAGGGGTTACCACGAAACTTGCTTAGCTACAATGAGAGCAGCGAAACTATTCAATAGCTTTCCTTCGAAGCACTTTGTCACATTAACAGCAACTTAGAGCACATGAATATGGTTTCAGCAAGAAACAGGGGCAGCTTCGGCAACAAACAGCCCGAACACGAATCGACCTCCTGGGACACTGAGGGTGTGGCTGGCGCTCGTTTCGTGTGCTAGGCAGCGCTGAGCATCACCTGCATGCCCAGCATAGGAGAAGAGGGCAGCCGTCCAGCAAAGGTGTAGCAGCATCACACCCGCTCATCAAAAGGGAGATGGGTTCGATTTTTGTACTTTCCGTGAGGGAAGCAATTCTGCAACAGCCAGCGCAAGGCCATCCAGCATCAGGGACCGCCGTCCACCATGGGCACATCCATCGAGCAAAGATAGCAAGGGAAGCTTTCCCGCAAAGGAAGGGAAGCTGTGCAGCAAAGGAAAGCCGTCCTGCAAAGGGAAAGCTATCCAGCAAAGGAAACGCCGTTCAGCAAAGGAACGCCGTCCAACAAGCCGTCCAGCAAAGGAAAGCCGTCCAGCAGGGAACGCTTAGCAATGGCTACATCGCTCCTGCAAAAGATGTCCAGAATATTGTGAAGCGCTGATGTTGCAAACGTCATTTTGAGAAGGAGAGGTCCTGCAAGTTGGAATGCTGGACAACCTTGTCTTTGCTGGACGGCTTTCCTTTGCTGGACTTGCTGTGCGGCCTTCCCTTTGCTCTACGGCTTTTCCTCTGCTGGGCCTTTTCTGGCTGGACAGCTTTCCTTTGCTGGACGGCTTCTTTTGATGGGCTTGCCTTGCTGGACGGCCTTCTGTTTGCTGGACGTCCCTTGCTAAACGGCTTTGTGTTCCCTTTGCTGGACGGCCTTCCCTTTGCTGGACGGCTTTCCCTGTGCTGGACGGCCCGTCCTTTGACGGCTTTTCCTTTACTGAGCAGTTTTTGCTGGACGCCCTTCCCTTTGCTCGACGGCCTTCCCTTTGCTGACAGCTCTCCCTTGCTAGACGGCGTTTCCTTCGGCTCTCCCTTCGCTGGGATAAAGCCTCATGCTTGGGAGGTTGGCCAGCGCTGCCAGGGAAACAGGCGATGCTAGGAGAGTGCATTTTTTGTTCGCCTGGTCACTGTTTTCTGGCTGTTTTCCAACCAAGAACCTCCAACAATGCGCGGGGTCGCATCTAAGCAAATCTCGTGGTAACTGCAATGTGTTTTTGTTCGCTGTTTTTTGTTTTGGGTTGGGGGTCTGACCTTGTTTTCGGGGGCTGACGTTCCCCAAGAAATTCAGCCACGTGAGGCGGCGACTTGCTGCCGTTGATCCCCCGCACCCGCGCAGCGCTCTATGAGGCTGGGGGTTGGGACTCGCATTGGGCACAATCTAACAAGAATTGTTTGCCCTCACCGAATGTGTATACTGTATACTGTATGCTTTTGAAACTCAGTTTAGCAGATCAGGCTGAGCGCCTTAAGGCACTCACATTCAGACAGCTCAGCAGGATGTTTTTTCATTTAGGTGTGTTTTTGACGCAGTAGATTATGGCTGTCTTCTTGACGCATTGGGGGGTCAGTTGCATTCCCTTTTGCAAGCTCCTGGCCACGATGCCCACTGGTTCCTTTGAAGCTTCCGCGAGGATGGTGATGTTGTCGACGCAGAAGAGCGGGCGCTGGTGGCGCACTGGTTGCAGCAGAAGCTTCAGCCACAGCTGCTCGTCTTCAATGGCTGGAGCGAGAAACTATGCGGGCTGCTGGGTGGATGGTTAGTTGGTATTGTGGCTGGTGGGCTGGTGAATGTTCATGCGTAGGATTGGATGTTCCAGCCCTTGCTGATTGCATCTTATGGCACTGGAACACTGGCGAACTTGCAACATCCGCCCAGGAATTGTCGGCTGGGGGCTTCTGGTTCCGTATGTGACAACTAAAGCAACTTGCACTTTGACGATCCTTTCCGCGAAAATGCACATCTTGATGCCCACAGTGCCGCTGCACAATGCCAATGCAAGTGCTCGCCACAAGGCATGCAGAGGCAGACATCAGCCTTCACTCGCTCCCGACACTTTCAACACCCATGCCCGCCATGGCTTGTTTGGAAGCCAAACGTACATAAGGGGTGCCTTTGACCCTCAGCCCGCATGGTCATGAACCCTTCAACGACAAGGGCTTGCGGGATGCTCCAGGGAGTCATCCCCCACAAGAAGCGCTCAACAAAGGCAGCCGAGTGACTTGGGGAAGAGAGGGTGGGCATGAAGGGTCCGTTGCCCCCAAATGTGACGGACACGTTCCGGCCCTGACACTACACGACACTTTGTTTGCAACGGCAAGTTCTCTCAAATGCAGAACATGTTGAATGCAAATCAGCATGCAATCCCAAAATGTGCCCCCCCCCCCAAAAAAAAAAAGCGGTTCCTCCAAAGATGGGATTGTTGCTGACAATTTCTTCGCGGGTACCAGGAGAAAAAGAGGAGTAGGTTCCCAATTGTCCTGCATCCTTCAGCATTTTGGGCGGTTCCCGAAACGGAATCCCTCAAACTAAAGGCGACTGCATCAGTCATGTCACCTTCGGAAGGCCAAGTTTCAGTGAGTGTCTCTTATGCCCCCACCCTTAATAAATGAAATTTAGGGGGTACCCCCCGTCAGAAATTTCATTTACCAATTTCATTTATTATTTTGTATTATTTTGTGTCACAGGGAAAAACCCACATCAATTCAAAGAAGTATGGGTGTTTCTATGTGATTCTAACAACCATATTTACAATTTTGGGTGTGTCTTTGAAGGGACATCAAAAGGAAACCACCCCTTTTTAGGGAGGCCTGGCCTCTCTGCTTCCGCTTGAAACAACACAAAACAACAGCCAAGAGGGTAGTGCAAGGGTTCTAGGAGACACATGATTTGGTTGCTGGGGTGAAGCATTCTCAAAAAGGGCACCCTGTCGAGGGACTATGAGGGACTGCATTTGGCTCATCGGTCCCGCGGCCCCCGCCTGCAAGCCTGCCTTGTGCATGGCCCGGCACCCAGCAGGGATCAGTGGTGATGTGTGAGCACAAGGGGCATGAACATTCTTTCGGCATCTTTCGGCAATCTGGATTGTTTTTGTTTTTCAATGTTTTTCAGGCCAGCTCAGGCCATTTCAGGCCCACAGTGGCCCACACGAAACACTAAGAGCAGCCGTGAGGACCTGTACGGACCTATCTAGCTGGAGCCGCTCATCTCAAGACGAGACCCCCCCAACTGTTCTGGCTCCGCTCATTGTCCACTCCCCTTGGCGCAGCTGCTTTTGCTCCGCAGTCACCGATAGCCACCCACCGGTAGTCACCGGTAGTCACCGGCAGTCACCGGTCATCACCGCTGAAGCTATGCCATGGGGCGCTTTGTGTGCCTACCCTGTGCACAAGGATGGCTGGCGCTGCGGGGAAGGGCGCACGTACCACGACCAGTGCCGCGATGGCTGTGTGAGCGGCGTGCCAAGTTTGGTGCTGTGTGTTTGTTTTAATGTGTTTGTATGTTTTTGTTTGGGTATATTATGATATATTATGATATATTCTGGTATATTAAAGTCTTTCATTTACATTTGGCATCATTTGGCCATATTTGCGGCACCTCAGCCGCCATTTATCAACTGCAGGAGAGTTCGCAGACCTTTTCAAAAAGACCTGCAAACACCTCTCAGATGCGAGCCTTGGCCAGGTTCATGCTTCTTATGTTTTGCGCCATCCTTGTGGAGCGTATTTTTTTGCGTCTTGCAAGCCTCGCTGCAACGCGCAGGTTCTTGCTTGGATAAATGCAACATAAATGCAAAGTATTGCGATTTCGCATGATTTCGCTGCCCAGGTGCCCACACTGTCTCATCCAGCATTGCGGCCGCGACTACATGCAGATGTGGCCATCAACGGTTTTGGTGGTGGCCTGTTCAGCTAGCCAGAGCTACACCGAGCTGGAAGCTTGGCGGCGGAATCATGAGTCTTCCCACGTCTTCCCTTTTTCCCCTCAAACGCGTTTGGCTTTCATGGTTCGCCAACTGTAGATGGTCGAAATGTTGTCTAATGTTTTCCAAAAAGTCCTAAACCCAATTATCATAAATCATCATATGTATATAGGTGTGTAGTTTTTCCTGGCCCCCGCCCCCCCCCCCCCCCCGGCGCGCGCGCGCGCAAAGGCAGCGATTGGTCCTTCCCGCACATCCTAGCAGTCCACTTTGCCTTTCCTGGCAAGGATTGGCAGTGTGGAGCAGCCGCGCGCGCGCGGGCACCCCCCCGCACGCGGCGATTGGCAATGTGCCGCCAGCAGATCCTTCCTGCATGCCTTCCTGCACATCCTAGCATTCCACTTGCCTTTCCTGGCCAGGATTGGCAGTGTGGGGCAGCAGAACTCTTCCCGCCGCGCGCGCGCGCGTGTGCCTGGGCCGCGCGCGTCCCGTAGTCTTCCGTCATCTTCCCGTAGTCTTCCGTCAGCTCCCGTCATCTTGCCGTAGTCTTCCATCATCTTCCCGAAGTCTTCCGTCATCTTCCCGTCAGCTTCCCGTAGTCTTCCGTAATCTTCCGTCAGCTTCCCGTAGTCTTCCGTCATCTTCCGGTAGTCTTCCGTCATCTTCCCGTAGTCTGCCGTCATCTTCCCGTAGTCTTCCGCTATCTTCCCGTAATCCCTTCCCCCTAATAATAAACGACGCCCCCCCCCCCCTAATAAAAAAAATACCCGGCCTGCAAAACAATTTTTATTATTAGGGGTCCCCTGGTTCTGGAGGGCAGGTTTTGGAGGTACTTCTTGTTCTGTGTAGGCTTGTTTGCAACTGTGGTCCCCCTGTTCCGTTCCGTAAAATCGCTTCAAACGCACATTTCTGAGTAAGGAATTTAAGTAGCGGGAGTTGAGGTCACGTTTTGTTGTTTTTGGTTGTGGGTTTTGGGTCACTCAAAGGAACCTTCTTGGATTGAGGGAGAGAGAGAGAGAGAGAGAGAGAGAGAGAGAGAGAGAGAGAGAGAGAGAGAAAGAAAGAGAAAGAGAGACGTTTGAAGCCACGGCACGCCTCCACGGTAGCCGTCTCGTGCGGCTCAGAAAGTCAGACAGCTAGCCAGAGCAAGACAGGCAGCGACATGGCCGCTTGGCGGCATTGACGCCAGGGAGATAGGCAGACAGACAGAGTTTGAACTCAAGCAATCCGAGGCTGACCAGGCAGTGGTGGACGAAGTCGTGGCCGCTGGGCGGCATTGACGGTAGGACATGGGAGGAAAAGATAGGCAGACAGACAGAACTTTGAATTGAAGCAATCCCAGGCTGACCAGCCGGTGGTGGAGGCGGTCAGAGAGCTCAGCCAGACCATGCAGTGGGAGCTGCAGGCAGTGCAGGCAGAGCTGCGTGCGCCTTTGGCGAGGGACAGGGTAATTAGCCCCCCCCCTGGCAAGAGGAAACTTTTTTTCAAGGGTCGAGAGCGTTGTTTGGGTGCAGCAGATGTTTGCAGCCAGTGCTTGTAAGCCAGTGCTTGGGCGCAGCCAGTGTTTATAAGCCAGTGTTTGGGTGCAGCAGATGTTTGCAGCCAGTGCTTGTAAGCCAGTGCTTGGGCGCAGCCAGTGTTTATAAGCCAGTGTTTGGGTGCAGCCAGTGTTTGTAGGCCAGTGCTTGAGTGCAGCCAGTGTCTGTAAGCCAGCGCAAGAGTGCAGCCAGTTGGCACCGCAGGACCAGCCCAGGCCAGAGCCAGGCGGACAGCCAGGCATAAGCAGAGCATGGTCGGATGAGTTCCAGACCCCCCCAGCCAAGCGGAGGGCGGTAGAAAGCCCAAGCAGCCAGCAGCTAGTAGCAGCAAGCCCTACAGAGGAAGAAGAGGAGGCTGCAGATAGCAAAACGAAGCGAGCGCTCTGGACTACTTGTTTGGCCGCAGCCCACAAGCAGTGGCAACCCCCAGCCAGACAACACCTAGCCCGAAGCAGCAGCAAGCCCTAGCCAGGCTGGAGCAGGAGGCAGAGCAGGCGGTGAAAGACTGCGGCCTCGACTTGGTTGCAGCTAGCCGCAGCCAGAAGGGGAGAGGGAAAAAAGGCAGGCCGCCAGGCAGCTTCAAGACAGGAGCCGCAGTGGCAGGAGTGAGGAAGAGCAGGGCAGACGCCACAGCAGCCGGCAAGCTCAGGCTAGTGCGAGAGCTGAAAGCCTTGAAAGACAGCCCCGCCTACAGCAAGACCACAGCCAGGAGAGAGCTGCAGAACAGGTACGCCCTGAGCGAGACAGCCGTGAGGAACCTGGAGAAGGAAGGTGTGGAGACAAGACTGGCAGAGTTCTTGAGCCACAGGCAGGTAGGGCTGACAGCTCGCAGGCGGGCAGGCAGCCACTTGGCACTGTTCAAGCTAGGCAGCAGGAGCGAAGGAAAGAGGATAGCCAAAGCAGGCCAGGCCTTGGGCAGGAAGGACTTGTGCCGCCCAGTGTGGCTGCAGACAGCAGTGTGGGCACAGCTTGAGGAGGCTAACGGACAGTTCCTCAGTGCCGGAGACCTCGTGAGGGACTTTCAGGAGAGACTGCAGTCAGCAATAGCAGCCTACGAGAAAAGGGAAGACAGCTTGAGTAGGAGGAGCAGAAGAAGTTGGCAGCCTGGAGGCAGAAGCAGGACAGCTTGCAGAACAAGCCCAAGCAGAGAAGGAAATACCAAGTCTTGCTGGCAGTGAAGGCAGGCTTGAGAGAAAGGACCTGCCAGACAATCCGCAACTTGAGCCAGTCCGAGGTGGCAGGCA